ACAATATCGCCCTCGAAATGATAAATTTTGAATCGGCGCCGTTGGATTGCAAAGAAGGAAATATTGCATCAATCAGAGCGTCCACTGATTTAGTTTTATCAGTGTATGGAATGGACATGTTATCAGGTATACGAATATAGGACTTGTCCAATGTTTCCTCCTTTCCATCACCGACTCGTAGTAAAAAATCCGAAAACCATGGATCATTTACCGCTCTCATGTTGATATTTAATCGAAGCCTTTTAACTGAAGCCCATAGAGGTGACATTCGTAAGCTAGAGTCGACAATTTGTGCTCGAGAGCCACGTCTCACGACCGGCAGCACTTGTCTAAAGTCACCTCCCATAACCATTATCTTTCCACCGAAAGGGAGCTTCTCATCTGTGATGTCTTGCATTGTCTGATCAACTGCTTCTACTGCCTGCCTCTTAGCCATTTCTGCTTCATCCCATATGATTACCTTTGCCTCGCAAAGTATCTGAGCCTTCCCACTTTGTTTAGTGATCTTGCACATCGAGTTATTATCAAGATTGAGGGGAATTCCAAATCGTGAATGAGCTGTTCTCCCTCCTGGCATGTTGTTAGCCGCAACACCTGACGTGGCAGTTGCAAGTGCAATAAGACCACGGGCACGAATATTGGCCAACAAAGCTTTGTACAAAAATGTCTTTCCAGTTCCACCGGGACCATCTATGAAGAAGACACCTGGAATATTTTGATCCACATGCCTCATTATCTCATCATATGCAAACTTTTGGTCTGGATTGAGAGAGTCCCGCGCATGTAAGTCTTCATATGCCACATTTATAGAGTATTCTTCTTGCACCTCACGATAGCCTCTTGATTGTAAATCGATGTGTGCACTGACATTTGGAAGGTCGTAATCACAAAGCTTTTTACTCATAGATTCTAAGAAGACTCTAATGTCGATGAGGACCATATTTTGCACTCGTTCGGCACATCCATATTGTTTCCTATAATCTTCAGAAAGAGCATCATAGTGGTCGTCCCATAACTTGCGAACATTTCCTGGTTCACAAAAAATCAGCATCGTCGCAAATAACCTTCTAAGTGCGCTGGGAAATTGAAATAAGGAAGCCTCTACAAGACATTGTGATAAATTATCATCGGTCTCTATTAAACCTCTTTCAAGAGCTGCTTTTCGAAATGTAGGGTGTAATACACCATTGGCTGTATATAAATCTTCAAAGCAGGTAGGCCCAGTGATATGGCATAGAAGCAGACGTAGGTAGTATCTCTCTCCTTCAGCTGGATTAGCATAAACAAGTCGACCAACCATAGATTTATGTTCCCTGGTCCTCCAACATTGGTTGCCCCGATTCCATGTAAAATGTTTGGGAAAATCCTTATACAAGTATTTTCTCGCTTTGGAATCTTCTTTATTCTTCTTGAAAAATGCCGTCAACATTGAATTTTTTTCTTTCTCCTTATCAACAATGTCTTCCATTCTGTCACCGTCTTTGAACCTAACCAACTGTTGATTCGGGAGATGTATTTGCAAGGCCATCACACAAGGGTGGATTTTTGAAAGAGGAAAGCTAAAAACTCGCCATAATGCCTCAGGAGGGGACACATAACGTGCGTCTTGAAACTTTCGTATCTCATTAATAACAACATTTTCTTGGTCTTTATCAACATGGATAACTTGTTTGTCATGGCCCTTATAAACATATTTGAAGAGGTACTTCACAGACTTTATACTCGAACAAACCTCAACGTTGATATGACAATTGAACATCATTAACAACTTTGGGTTGTATGGAGCCACCCATCTGTTATCCAATGATGTATTTCTTACAGTCACCTCAATTCCATTATTTCTTCTTCTATATAATGGATATGAGTCCTCTCCTTGTGATGTCTTTTCATTGAATTGCCTAGGATATCTGAAACGACATATTTTTGGCACACCCTGCATACATGGACTTTTTTCTCGTAAGCTACCACAAGGACCGTGCATCATGTGACTTTTGACAAGATCATGCATTTCAGGAAACCTTATTGGGTCGGGAATTTCCGCACACACAAGTTTGTCATAATCATCTGGATTATTCATTTTATATCCACTTGTCATTATTAAGAGGAAATGTGCATGTGGCAATCCACGCTTTTGAAACTCTATCACATACACATACGACCCCACCACACCGATTATATGTCTCTGGAATAACTGTACCTTGAGATCCTCTAACTTAGCATGAAAAACTCTTGCAACAAGGTCCGGTCGATCTTGAGCTGACTGTCCAGGCAATAACTCATCATCGATTTCTTTCCATTTTGGGTTGCACGTCATTGTAAGAAATATATCAGGCCTCCCGTCATCTTGAACTAAAGCCATGGCATCCAGAAATCTCCGTCGCATGTCACGTGGACCTCCAATGAAACTTGCAGGTAACACAACTCTCTGTCCAACCCTACTTGGTTGAGCCTCACCGGCATTGAAGCAATCAACAACGCCCTGGTATAAATCGGCTCGAATTTTGGTTTGGTTCTTTTCAACAAAAACCAAACGTGTAGTCTCAATCTTTATATATGTATCTACTGCAAATTGCTGGAACAATCTCCCTCCCATCAAAATCACATTATCATTCGACCGTATCTGGAACTTGTAACAATAGTACTCCCGCATACTTACAGTATTTCTGCCTTTTTTTGAAGTAGATTCTGTGATATCATAATTTATGTGAAAAATATAATTTAATATCCATATATTTAAGGCAATATTTGTTACATGTTTTAAATATGTAAAGGAATGTTAAAGGCGTACCTTCTAAACCGTCATCATTGTCTTCATTGTCACTATGAATTTCATCCATGGTGACCCCATATCTTGGTATTATAGGATGCCATCCAGACTCACCATTGGGAAAGAATAAAGGATACGACAAAGGATCATAACAACCAAAGTGAGGTTGAATTTCAGTACTATAGTTAGACCTCCCGTAGACAATAATACTTCTTTTATATGCAGTGATGTTGTCATTTCCTTCAACCCAAATACCAGCAACCTATGCAAAGGTGTAGTTCAATAGGGTGATTAATATGATATGTATAATAATAAATATGACACATCTAATTTTAAAATGAATATAGATAAATGTTAATATTCACACCTCAGATGTGGTCGGCTTATTGTACACCCTTTGGTCAAGTTCCACCGATGCATTCAGAGTCACTCTATAATTATCAAGCGGTCCTAGATCAGAAAGACGTTTAAATGTTCTAACGTACGGATTCGAAGCTAGAATACGTGTTAGTTTTTGAATGATTCTTCTATCAACATTCTTCCAGGAGGATCTTTGTGATATTTCAGCTTCACCGTCATAAAAGTACAACTGTAAATACCTCGATTTTCCATCCCTTGAAATTAATTGATCGATATTATGATAGAGTGTTCCGTGCGCACAAAAAGTGTAAACTCCAGATGTCATACTTGCCAATTCTTCATCCACCTTTACACCCAGTGATGCGAAAGAAAAGTTTGAGTTATACGCCCTTATATTGTACCTGAAGCTTTCTTCTAGCTGCTCTTGGCTTGTGAAGAGTTGGTGCAATTCTGTGGGAATAGGGGAGTATGCCAGTTATGTCTTTCCACTCATGCAACAAAAGGTAGGGAATTCATATTGTAATCGCTTTGCTCCACAATAAACACAAGGCTTTTGAGCCTTTAATATACGATGTTCCATACGGATATTTTTGTAAACAAAATCATATGGATCCTCCTGAAAGGCGTATACTCTTCTTTTTGTCATCATAGTTCGTTCCTTTCTTCGTTGATAATATTCTTTATTATAAGTACTTGTCCTCTGAGCAGCACTTATAACACTTACAGAGGAATCTTCGTTCATATTTGTTTCGTGTGTCTCCATTGTAGTGCAACTTGTGAGTGTTGTAGGCTGACTACATCCTTCACCGTTAGCTATCCTTCTCATTTTGTTTTTTTCCTTTTTTCGTGCATAATAGTTTCTATTGTATCTTTTTCGATTTTCTACAAATATATTATTTGGATAAATAGTCATATATTATAAATGCGAATATATACTTATGTAAACGACATACCTTTTTCTATATCTATCGGGTTTTGGGAATCATCACAGTTTTCGTTTCCCTTATCTACGGTCCTCATTGAACACTATAATGGAAATGTTAAGGATAAGCACATATTATATCATCAAGAATCTAACATTTTGTAATGTAGACCATGTGATTTAGTAGTCATGTATGTGTGTTTCAGAAAGCAACACAACCCTTATTAAATAACCAACTACACTAAAAACTTGTAATCCAAAAACACAATAGCAAAATAAACAACACATGAAAATATCCATAGATATCCAAAAATTATTATTTATCAATTCATAATTCAACACAAGAAAAATAAACCACACATGAAAAAATTCGCCACAATATGTCTAACATTAATGTAGATCAACTATAAAAGCAACGCACTCATAAAAGTTGTCAAAACTTAAAAAAAAAAAAACCCCACCAAATGTCTCACACAGAATTAAAAATTCTTCTAGGCATATTTATGATGTTAAATGCTTCCGGCATCCTCGGTTGGAACTCTACGTTGCTTAGTTTGGTTGATATCATAATGTTCACTGAAAATAAGATAAAAACTATTAAAATGTATTGATTTAGTTATTTTAATATCACTACAAGCATTATAATTTTCTAGAAAAAACTTACTTGAATCCAAATGAACCAATTTCACCCGAGAAACAAATATTATATACTTTCTGTTTATCGCATAGACAGTTGTCACAATCTGATGGCGTCTTCGGTCGGTTATATGTAGTTTTATCTTTATTATACTCCCCCTATTTAAAATCAAAGATTTCGAAAGTCACCTAATTTTCTTTTAATGTAATAATAATAATAATAATAATAATAGTAGTAGTAGTAGTAATAATAATAATAATAATAATAATAATAATAATAATAATAATAATAATAATAATAATAATAATAAACACTTACGGCCCATCTTGGAGATATAAAGTGAAAGAAGTTAACGTCAGTACACCAGAGTAACGGGAATAGTTTCGCTTCCCTTTGATGATTTTTCCAACAATATCTAAAAATAGCGATAATTAAAAGGATAATTAACTTGTTATTATTTTAAAAACTTTAGAATGCTAAAAGTATATATAAGTTATTAAATTTACCAATCATCATTTTTCTCTTTGTCTGATCCTCTACTAAACTTTTTATTGAGGGAACCAATGGGAAAACCGGAAACCATGATATGATAGCATCGGCCAAACGATTAAATCGTGTGTTATTGCTGATCTTAATCATCAAATCGCCACGTAATAAACTGTATTCTTGATACCTCGGATACTCAGCATACGTTGGTTCGACTTGGAAATGGTTTAAAGAAAACACACCACCCAATAGATTCCCTCCATAAATAAAGCGCATCATTGGTTGTGGAACAACTGCTAACAATTTCTCTCTCTAATAGAAAATGTAATATTTTTATAAAGAAAATACTTATGATAAATTATGAAAATGAAAATAAGATATAAATAGTTTTTTTAAACATACATTTTGATCAATGAGAATCATGAAAAGTTTGTTTGCTCTTGAGTCCCTCCAAATGAAATCAACACGAACAGGTGTCAAAACATACCACAAATGGTAGTTTAGTAGCATTGAAAATGCATCAACGTAAATTTGACCATTCATGATTCTACAAAAAGAAAGTCACACGTGATTGATGTAGAATTGATTTAATTTGGTTAAATTTAATGATGGATGACTGGATTATATAATATGTTTTTGATCTAGATATGATAATGTATTTTTCTGCTGTCAGTTCGCTAGATAAAGTAAAAAAAATGGAATTTAGGGACCTAATATCATGTATTCATCCACTTTAAGTCTGCAAACCAAATGGCATGATTTGTCCAATAGTTTTTTTCTCTTCTCTAAATGGCAATCACTTAGTATGATCAGAAAAACATGGAAGGGCAAAATAGGCATCCACTTTAACCGAACCAACACCAGGGGTAAAGATGTCATTTTCAAGAAAATGCAATCGGCTATACTTATATATGCAACATTTCTACGTATAGACATGATTAAAGCACAAAGGTCCAAACCACGAGTACTTATGTCAAATTCAAAGAAAAAGAAGGTTTTCCAGATTTACCATCCTAGAAGGTTTTCCGGAAATATATTACAATCCTCCGAAATTAAATAATATGGCATCATTAACTAAGCAAAATATCAAAGAAAGTACAAAGAAATAAGAGTTAATGAGTAGATAAACAAAAGAATGATGATTTCAAAATTTCATTTGCAGATTACTTGATACCAAACTCTGGATGTCAGACAAAATAGCACAAAATAAAAAACAGAAAAAAGAAGGTTATGTATTAATTTCAAAAGAACATGCAAAAAAAGAACATGCAAACTGATTGCAATCTGTGACTTTCTTTTGGTGCATTAAAACAAAGGAAATTGCATCAACTGTTTATTACTTATCTTTTTAAAAAATAAAAAACTAAATACATTTAATTTCCATATGTTTTTTAAAAAAATAAAAAACTAAATACATTAAACTAAATACATACGGAAAGAGACAGTTTCAATCCATGAAATTAGAACATGATATATTCTAGAAACAATATTTAATCATAAATTAAAACATGATATGTTTTCAAAACAATATTCACTCAAATACACAAGCACACAATGTCCCAACATATACATATACAAACCATACATATATAGGATGTCACAAATAAATAAATACACACATATATACATATTATATACAAGTATTATTTGAGAGAAATATATCACCTCAAACAGAAAAAAGTAAAAATTAAAATATCCTACACACTTCAGGTTATAAGTGATAGAAGAAGTAATCACTTCAAACAGAAGAAGTAAAAAATAAAATATATACACACTTCAAGTTATACGTGATAGAAGAAGTGAAGAAGTAACAGAACTTGAATTCGTGTCAACAAATGCAATGCAATGCAATGAAGTAGTCTTCTTGTTCTTGATTCTTTGTTTGTGAATTGTGTGTTGTAAGAGTAAAATATAAGAAAGCGTATTAGATTTATAGGTGGAAAAAGGTATTCTATCATATAATTTCGGAAACTGATAATCATTCCTAAATTAAGCAAATTGAGATCTAACCATAAATAATAACATTATAAAAATATACTAAAATAATTTTAAAATCTGTTTAATAACTGTTATAAATCATACCAAAATTATAATATTTTAATTAAGATAATATAATACTAAAAATATTTTAAATCATACCAAAAATAATTAAAAAATGCTTTATCAGTAGTACTTACTAAAAATTAATTAAAAATTGTGATTTTTTTTTATTTCGCAAAACTGGTATAATTTTCAAAGATAAAAAAATTGTATTGGATTTTTTTTTGAAAAACGTGTAAGCAATAACGTTTTATTAAAATCATTACCCAATTGAGCAACATGGGTCAACTCTTGCAGCATTCTCCTTTTTCACATTTGTTGCCTCTTCTTCAGCCACCACTTCTTCAATCTTCCTGTGGACAAATATATTTATGATTACTAATTGAAAGCAAATAATATCAAGCCAGTGTACACATGACTAAACATTTATTCAAATTAAAAAAAAACCCAATATTATTTGAGCATGATAGGTTTACCTCAGTAAGCTCTAATAAGTGACACGATCTAAACTCATTGATAGTTGCTGCTATCTCTGACATTGGCAACTTAGCCTAAGAAAATATAAAAACACAATAAACAATTAATGAGTAAAACAGAAATGAACTGAAAAAACTATACTTACCTGTGCAAGAACAGCAGATGCTAACTGTAAACTTGGTTCTAAGGTCTCGGGGACAATCTGCAGCAAAAGCAATGAGTTATTTTAACTAAGTCACTCTGAAAGTGAAGGAAGGGATAAATAAATGTATACGATTAGAATACGGAATTTGGTGATTAGTTTCTTTTCAAAAGTAAATGAATAGTTTATTTCAACAAGTTGAGGATAATTTAGATTCAACGATTAATTTTCTTTGTAAACATTTCATCGATTAACAAAAAATCTTTTTAATGTGATCATTTTTATTATTAACACGAATGGATACGTACAAACCCAAGTTTGTTTCGGTTGAAGTGTTAATAATTAGCATCATAATTGTATATGTGATGAGGTGTTTTGCTTAAAACATTTTGATCCATGTTCCATATAAATATATCATATTCCAAAAAGCTTTTACTACATACATTGTTATCGGTCAGTTTTACGTTGAGCTAATTATTATTCAAAATAATAATAATACTAATAAACATTGATGCATTCATATGAGTATAATAAGCACCACTAAAAATTAATTATAAATTTTCATCTTCCATTGTGCAAACTCCAGCTGAGGAGAGCATAAAAAATTTTGTATTATCATAAATATGTTGAAGATGGGTTTGAGGGTACCTGTGGTGGCTGAGGGAGGTTACGAAGGTGGTGGTAGGCGGCGGAATCAAGCTTTAAAGGTCGTGGTAGCGGCGGAATCAACTGTTGAAAGGTCCGTTGACCTGATTTGTCGTCTTAACGGCTTCTTAAGATGATTGACGCAGATTTCTAGGGTTTTTCAGGAACGAAGATCTTCAGACCTGATGCGTCGTCAGCAGCGGCAAGATGTTCAGAACTGATTCGTATGAGTATAATAAGCACCATATGAGTATAATACTAATAAACATTGATGCATTCATATGAGTATAATAAGCACCACTAAAAATTAATTATAAATTTTCATCTTCCATTGTGCAAACTGCAGCTGAGGAGAGCATAAAAAATTTTGTATTATCATAAATATGTTGAAGATGGGTTTGAGGGTACCTGTGGTGGCTGAGGGAGGTTACGAAGGTGGTGGTAGGCGGCGGAATCAAGCTTTAAAGGTCGTGGTAGCGGCGGAATCAACTGTTGAAAGGTCCGTTGACCTGATTTGTCGTCTTAACAGCTTCTTGAGATGATTGACGCAGATTTCTAGGGTTTTTCAGGAACGAAGATCTTCAGACCTGATTCGTCGTCAGCAGCGGCAAGATGTTCAGACCTGATTCGTCGTCAGCAGCGGCGTCTTCGTCCCCTCTGTGTTCGGGATCTTTGATAGCTGAGACCTGAGAGCGTGTTAGGGTGAAAATCGAATGCGGGGAAAGGGGCATCTTTGGTGTTGTCGATGTGAAGATGGTTTTGAGGGTACCTGTGGTGGCTGACGGAGGTTACGAAGGTGAGATGAATAGGTTAGATGGCAGATCTTTAGGGTTTTTGATGATAGAAGATGCGAAGGCGTCTGTTAGGGTGCAAATCGATGGCGAACAAAGGGTTTATATCGGAAACGCTGCAGATCCGCCATGTTAAGACGTCGACTACTTTAAGGCTGACGATTGGATTGAGGATCGAACATGCTGAGCATCATTAATCTGTCTTCTCCGGATCTGTTCTTCACCGCCTCCGGATCTGTTAACTTGTCGATGTGAATAGGTTAGATGGTTGTGGCTAGGAGATTAGGTAAGGTCATTGTACGGTGTAGTATACGATCCTTGTGTAGCGTGTAGTGTAGTATAATACGTATGTTGCTTAATGTCATTGTACATAACGTAAGATATGTGGTACCTCTTAATTTTCAAGAGATGGGCAATATCCTTAATAATATAGTAAAGATATATATATATATATATATATATATATATATATATATATATATATATATATATATATATATATATATAATGAAATTTGTTTGGTAACATATAATCAAACTCAAAATAAATAACTACTATTAACAATGATAAATTAACAATGTCAACAAACTTAAAAAAACAAAAAATAGCTAATATTTATATTATATATTCAATAAACAATTACAGATTACTTTGTGTTTACATTTGACAGAATGGCAGAATTACATCAGTTAATTTCCCCTCCAAAAATACAAGATCATCTACACTATTAACTTTGTATATTTTTGTTTTTGTGTATATGCCTTTTTGCATTCCTCCTTATATAATTAATGACGATTTTTTACCCATAGAAGCAAGCACCGATTCATTCACAAAGAAGAGAGATAATTTCGAAGAAGGAAAAAAAATAAAAGGCCTATACAGGGGTCGAGATTTCCATACCTAAATTATCAAAATAGCATCAGGTTAGTCCTTATTTTGTTCATGTTCTTGATTCCAACTCAAATTTGCATAAATCGGGTCACTTTAAAGTTAATTGTTTATTATGATGCTTGTATGCAACTGATTTCATAAAAACAACAAGTGGAATTACATAAAAGGGGGACAGTTAATAAGAGTAAACTAGAAACCGATTGGTAAAGAAATATGTATTGTAGATTTCACTTGCTATCATATTCTTATGGTGTCTTTTGGCATTCTGCATACATAAATAAGCAATAAACTTGTGTAAAGAAGAGTAAATCAATTGAGAGTAAACATTTAATTAAATTAAAAGGTACATACCAAGAAGCTTTTATCTTCCTCGACTTAGATTTTTTATGTATGTTAATGGAGGATTAAACACATAGTTGCCTTTTCCCAGATTTGTTATCTCCGGTTGGGTTTCTGTATGCGTTAATGGTCGAATAAATGCAATAAATAGCTAAAGTAATCCTAACAATCAATGATAATTATTATTCAAAAAGATTTTATCATTATCTGTTAAGTCTATTAAGTTTGAAAATTAATATATTAATCGGTGATAATCTTATATCTTTTTCTCCTATGTGAAAT